TAAACCCAGCAGCTTGATAATGGGAGTCCCTCTTTGCCCAGCCCAGGGTGGGGCCAATTCTACCTCCAGGGATGAACACAATCCCATGAGTCTTGTGTTGCACCTAGGGAAACTGGGGAGCACCGTAATAAGGGAATCAAGGGCCAAGAAGGGAGAATCCCCGGGCTTCTCCCACCCCAACAGAGCAACCTGGGTCTACAACAGCAGCACCCCTTGGAAAAGTAAGTTACAATTGTAAGAAATAGAGGCCTCCCTCACCCCTATCATTCTGAGCTCCCAGGCTCTAAGTTGTCAGAGAACAGTAACTTTGGGAGGAATTGGGGAATAGGCTCTGAGGGCAAGGCATCCTTTGGGGTTCAGTGCCTGGGCCAAAGGCTAATTGTCAGGGATGAATCATAGGACCATAATTCAGAGCTTCCAGGAACCTTAGTAGATTACTAAACAGATTACTGGTTCATAGAGGAATTACTTAGTAATAGATATTACATAGAGATTACTTAGTAAATTCCCTCATTTTTCAGAGAAGGAAACTGAAGCCCAGAGAGTGAAAGTGATTTGCCTAAAATCACCCTTTGTAAATATCAGAGCCAGGATTTCAATTCAGCTCCTCTGACTTCAAACCCAGCAGACTTTTCACCACATCCCCCCATGCCTCAGGGTTAGGGATGGCTGCTAGCAATGAGGGCTCAAGGCTGAAGCTGAGAGCTCAGCTCCTGAGGAGCGACAAGGGACTCTTTGCATGGGATGAGTGCTTAGTGTTAGGATTAAGAAGTCTTAACTGGGGTGACAAGGGCTCAGAGTCAGGAACTGTCCAGTCAGCACCACGCTACCCACCGATCCTGGGGATCTCTCAATCATCAAGATAACGCCTTCCTGGCCAGGGGAAAGATCTTGATTGTCAGATTTACCTCCCTTCCCTGGTATAGTGGATTGTATGCTGAACCTAGAATTAGGAAGACCACAAATTGCAATCCTGACTCGGGGACTCACTAGCTTTGTGACTCTGGTCAGGTCAAGTTGCTCATCTCTGCCTCAGTTTCCATATATGCAAAATGAGGATAATAATAGCACTTATCTCACATGATTATTGTAAAGATGAAAACAGATAACCTATGGAAAGCATTTCATAAACCTTAAAGAACTACAGAAATGTTAGCTATAGTTATTGTTGTTGTTGTTGTTGTTTTCTGGGGCCCCCACACCACCCTGGGGGGTAGAGGGGCTGTCTGACTCTGCCACACTGATCTCTCCTGTGGCTGTTACATCAAAACTGTTTCCCTGTAAAAAGCAAGTAGCTTCCCTCACTAGCTTTCTCCCAGAGAACAGAAGCACGGGCCCAGGATTATCCCAGTAGGGAAGCCTAGCAATTGAAGCTGGCTTTGTTTGCCATTCCTCTTGGAAATGAGGGTCTGAGGGGCTCTTGACAAGGTTGAAACCAAAGGTCTAATAAGCTAAGGAGAAACTTGGAGAGGAGAGAGGAAATAGAGAGAGAGAGAGAGAAAAAGCAATGGGTAGAGCACAAAATGAATCTCTGGGATTTAGTTTTTCCATCCATACAATGGGGCTAACAAGGTCAACTCCTGTCTTGGAATGCATAGCAACAATACCTTAATGTGAAGCCTGGGCTTGGCAGCCAGGTTCCAAAAGATGCTAAGGGCTTATCCAGTCTCCTGCCTCCGGCCACAACTGTACTTTAGCAATTATCAGCTCTTCTTTACTAAGGCTGCTCTGGGGTGGGGGTAGGGGTATGCAGGAGAAGAAGGAGCTACAGTGTGGTTGGAGTTGGAGAGACTAGAGAGAGCCATGCTAAAAACATCAACAACAACAACAGAAGACAGTTGTTCGGTTACTGGATAGAGGTGGGGTAGAATCATAGAGCTGGAAGGAACTAATGAGGCCATGTAGCCCAATCCATACCTATAAAGGATACCCCAGCAAGTGTAACTGAAGACTTCTTGAGAAGAGGAAACTAGCCCCTCTCAAATCAACCCTTTCCACTTCGGGACATCTCTGAGTGTTAAGTTTTTTCTTTCTAGCAAATCAGGTCTACTTCTCTACGCTTTCTCATTGCTCCCACTTCTCTCTGGCATCAAATGGGACACATCTAATCCCTTGTCCCTGTGCCAGCCCTTCAGCTTATGTTCCCCCTAAGTCTTTTTTTCCTCCCCCCCTCCCCTAAACATCCTTCGATTGATTCCATCTGGTATGGCATGGCTTCTTTCCCTCAGAACCCTGGCCACCCTCTTCTTAACCCTTTCAATATATTTCAGGTCCTCCCTAGAATATATTGCCCAGAATGGAAACTAGTGCTCTCGGTGTAGTCAGATTTGAGAGACCTCAAGAAATTCTCTGATCCAACCCCATCTAGCAGGCTTTGTTATTATTCCCATTGTGCAGATGTAGCAACTGATCCCCAAGTTCAATGACTTGTCCTAGATTACAGAGAAAATAAATTGGGAGGGGGTGTTGGAGGGGGACTAGAACCCAATTTTACCAGGTTCAAAGGAGAGATGCAGTTCGGAAAGGTCATGGGACTTGGGCTGAACCCTGAAAGATGGGTATATTCTAGGTGAGATGTGGATAATTGAAGAATGGAGAAGTCATTCCAGAGATGGTTTACAGCATGAACAAAGGGGTGGAAGTTGGAATAACTATGAGAAGTTCAGGGATCATAGATTTCAACCTCAAAAGGATTTCAGAGTGCCTTTTGGTCCAACTCCCTCATTATACAGATGAGGAAACTGAGGCCCAGCCTAACTAAGTGACCTGCCCAGGGCTGTAAGTGGCAAAGCTAGGACTTGACTGGCCAGGCTGGAACCGAGGTTTCACATAAAGGGTAGTAGGAGCTATGACTGAGAAAGCAGGATAGGTTCTGATTAGAAAGCTACTTGAACGCTAAAGTAAAGTAGAATTTGGACTTTGCCCCATAGCCATTAAAGTTCTCAAGTAGCGGGACTGAGAGACATAGAGCAGTGCTTTCAGGACATTAGCCTGGCACAAAGGGCTGGAGGGGCAACCAGCTTGGTCACTGGCTCCTGTGGGTTGTCTGTCTGTTCTCACAGGGTCTAGAAGGAAGTGACTTCTCTCAAAGTCGACAGAACCTGGGGGAAGGAGCAGTGCAGTAGTCAGGAACACTCAAGCCTGGAGAGTTCTATGTTCCCCAAGGGACCCAAAAGAAACTGAAGGTCCCAGGTGACTTTGGAGGCTCCGAGTGCTAGTAGAAAGACAAAAGGAATCCATCTCTAAGGGTGTTTGCTTTGGGCCACCTGTGCTATTAAATTGCTTCATGTTTACCAAAGAAAGACTCCTCTGCCTCCTTTTTTTTTTCTCTGCCTTCTGTCCCCCAACAATCCTGTCCTGGCCACTGGACAGAATCATTCTGGTCATAGAGTATTTGGGTGGAAAGGGACCATTCAGTCCAAGGCCCTCCTTGAAACTGAAGCCTAGAGAGGGGAAGGGGCTCCCCCAGGGAGGCATTAGCATAACTCCTGGCTCCCAGGCCCCTCTTGGGCATTCTGTGGTCCATTCTGTGGTGCATCAGCACCAGGCGGTGGTTCCTGTAATGCTCTACCTCTGTGTTTCACTGGCTTCCTTCAGCCTCAATCCCACTTTCTGCGTGGGGCCTTTCCCAGTCTCCCTCCCCCTCTGTGAGGACTTTCTACTTATACTCTATATCTCTTGTATATATCCATTAGAGTGTGAGCTCCTTGAGGGCAGGGACTGTTACTGCCTTTCTTTATATCCCTAGCACTTAGTATGCCGCCTGGCACATAGTAGGTGTTTAATAAATGCTCAATGACTGACTGAGTCTTTTCTGTCACCTCCACTCTGCCATTCCATGCTCTTCACCTCCCTTACTTTCTTCATCTCCCACCTCCAAACCCCTGCTTGTACAGGTTGATTCCCTCCTCTTGGAATCCCTAGCTTCAAAGCTGAGTTCATTTACCACCTTTTTTTTTTTTTTTGGTGAGGCAGATGGGGTTAAGTAACTTGCCCATGGTCACACAATTAGTAAGTATCAAGTGTGTGAGGCCGGATTTGAACTCAGGTCCTCCCTTCTCCAAGGCCGAAGCTCCATCCACTGCACCACCTACCTGTTCCCAATTTACCACCTCTTCACCAGAGTATCTTCTTAGCCTCCCAGCTTTAGGGTTCTCCCTCCCTGGAATCATCTTGCATCTTTTTTGCATCTACCCACAATTCCTGGTAATAATAGTAGCTAATATTTACATGTGCAGACATCTCAGTTGATCCTCACTACAACCCTGGAGAGAGATGCTGATATTATCCTTCTTTTATAGGTGAGGAAACTGAGGCAAACAGAGGTTAAGTGACTTGCATAGGGGCACACAACTAGTAAGTGTTGGAGGCTGGATTTGACCTCAGGTCTTTCTGACTCCAGGTCGGGTACTGTATCCACTGCACTGTGATTGTAAATATTTATATACATATAAATGCCTAGCACAGTGCCTGGCACACAGTAGGAGCCAAATAAATGCTTGTTGTAGAATTTAGGGTTGTTCGGGTAAGTTAGGCACCAGCCAAGGCTGGGCTCCATTGAGTCTCCACTTTCCAGGACTATTAACCCTCCAGAAGAGAGACAATGGGCTGCAGTGGGCCTGGTGTCTGGAGAGACCTGGGATAGCATTGTGTCTCTGACACTTACTAGCTCACCCCTCTGAGCTATAGCTTCCTCATCTTTTTTTTTTCAGTTAATTTTAGTCCTGTTCGACTCTTTGCAATCCTATTTTCTTGGCAAAGATACTGGAGTGGTTTGCCATTTTCTCTCCAGCTCATTTGAAAGATGAGGAAACCGAGGCACAGGGTGAAGTGACTTGCCCAGGGTCACACAGCTAGTAAGTGTCTGAGGCCAGATTTGAACTCAGAAAGATGAGTCTCCCTGACTTCAGGCTCAGCACTCTATCCACTGTGCAATGCACCTGCCACCTGACCTTCTTCATCTTTGCCTTAGGGAATAACACATCTTATTCTATCCTTAGGCAGGTCCCTCATGGATTCTCCAGCAAACACAGAAACCTCCATCAATCAAGAATTGCTTTCCAAAGAGGTAACCCTTCCTGCTTCCCTACCCTGGCCCTAAAGAATTGGGCACCTAGAAATTTGAAAATATGTGTGAGAATTTCTCCAGAATCGCAAGATTCAACAGTAGTGTTCTTATTTTTTTGTTGGAGGTAACCTTGAATCTCCTTCCTTCTCCTAGTTCAGAGTCAAGGATGGGGGCTCTGCACCAGGAAGGGGAGCTCGGTTCTGGGGCTGGAAGTTTAGGGTCTGGGATGGTGGCCCAGGACTGGTGATGGGAATTTCAGATAAGGGTTAAAGGCTTGACTGGGGCTGGATTTCAGTGTCAGCCTTGAGATTTCAGTGATATGGATGCAGAGGCCATATCAGGAATGGGATCCAGGAATGTAGTTTCTGGGAGGAAGGAGGGCTCATTGTCAGGAATGCAACAGGGGGCATTAAATTCCAAAGAATTCAGGAATCCATTCCTTCTCCAGCTCAGGGAAGGCTCAGTTTATTTACACAGACAGTCTGCCTGGCCTACGAAGAAGAGGGAGGGGGCCAGCTTCCCCCCTCCCTGTTCCCTTGCCCAATCTTTTCAGCAGTGTGGTCCCTGGTCCTTACAGGGACACTTATTTAATTTTCCAGCTCATCTTCTCAATTTTTCATCTCATTCCTAAAACACAAATAAAATGAGCCATTAGTTGTCAAGCATTTATTAAGTGCCTACTGTGTACTAGAAATTATACTGGGTGTTGGGGACACCCATGCACATGATTTTACCCAGGAAGCTAAATGAGAAGACCTAGGAAGCCAGTTCTGATTCCCACCTCAGTCCTCCTGGGTTGAGGATTAAGGCTGGTCTGGTCTGTTTCCTCTTGTTTACTCCCCAGGCTGGGCCGTATAGACCTGGTGAGACAAAGTCTGGCCAACCCAATACAGAGAACCACCCATAGAGAGGCCAGGCCAGGAATCTGAGCTTTGCCACCCACCCCCACTGGCTGTTTAGCAACCTGATCTCCTGGGTGAGGCTTTGTCCACAAGAAACCTGACCTCTCCCCCCAGCTGTGGGAGAAGTAGGGGAGGGCTGCCTAATCCATCCAAGGTGCTTGGATAACCAAGGTTGGCCCAGTAGGCTGGCTGAGGTGGGGAGGAGGCCTGGGGCGAGGCAGAGGGAAGGGAGCCTGATGTGCAGGAACAGGTGGGAGGGCTCTGGCTACAAGGCGCTCTCCCTTCTGCTGCCAGAGGAGGCTGAGGAAGGCCCTGGGTGGTTGGGAGGTGGACTTGCCCAGGGTCACACAGCTGCTAAGTGTCTGGGGCCAGATTTGAACCTGGGAAGATGAATCTCACTGACCCCTGTGCACTATGGCGCCACCTAGCTGCCCCCTTACCTATATAGCTGCCACCTACATACACACATGCATGTAGACCCAAGGTCAGATAAAAATACGGCTTACACAATCACATACAGAAGTTCACAACACACAAATACAGGTTCATAAAACATCAATACATAGGTTTACACAGACATGCGCAACGGCTCACACATATCCTCACATGTTCACACGGACACAGATGTGCAGACTCACCGATACACGTGAGTTTACATGGACACAGACATGCAGATACATATGAGTTTGTATGGACACACAGACACACAAATACACATGAGTTTGCATGGACATAAAGACAAAACTCAGAAACACGTGAGTTTACGTGGATACCCAGATTAACAACGTCACACAAATACAACTCTACAAGTTCACACTGACACAAATAGACACAAGTTTGCATTGAGACACACACACACACACACAAACCACGGGCACACACAAGCACCACTGTCCTACACACTGCTTACACTCCTCTTTGAGGAGAGCAGGGGAACAAGGAGAAGCTGGTTGGAGCTGGCACTGTCCAAAAGCTTCCCATCCTGGCCCCAAGAGGCCTGGCTGAAGACCTGTTGCTGGTTCCTGTGCCAAGAGGCCCCACAACATGGGTGGGCCCCCCTTCTTGGCTCCTTCCCCACCCCCTCCCTTGTTCCCTAAGGAGACAGTGTGACTAGATCTGACACCTGCAAGTTATTACAAGTTGTCTCCCTTACAGGATGGAGGCTGGGCTCAGGCTCAGCTTTCACCACTTTCCCCTTTTCTCCTCACTATTCACCCCCCACATTCTGCTCCTCACCAATGACATCTTAGGGACTTTTCACCCTCTGGCAGAATCCGAGAGCAGGGAGAGACTGATAGATGGACATAGATCTTTGAGTCCAACATTCTCATTTTATGTATGTAGAAACTGAGTACTGTAGAGGTTAGAAGGTCACACAGGTGGGAATTTGAACGTAGGTCCTTTGGTTTCAGATCTCCTCTTTCCATGCACCGTATTGCTTCCCTGATCAGCAGTCAACAAGGATCTATTAAGCACCTACAATGTGGGATACAGAGGAAGGCAAATTCAGTCTCTACCCTCAAGGAACTCACATTCTAATAAGGGGAGACAAATTACATAGGTGCATACAAGAGACATACAAGGTAGATGGGTGAGAGAAAATTTACTGAATCAATAAGTGAGATTTGAATAAAGACTTGGAAGAAGCAGAAACCAAGAGTCAGAGGTGAGGCAGAACACTCTGGATAGGAGGTGGATGAAAGAGCGCATTGTGGGAAACATTGGAAAGGTAGGAACAAGGTGAGTTATGAAGAACTTTAAACACCCAAACAAAGGACCTTGTCCATGATTCTGACTAGAGTTTATTGAGTGCCATAGGCAGACCCACACTCGGGAAAATCACTTTGGCAGCTGCATGAAGGGCGACTAGGACCAGGGAGAGACTTGGGGTGGACACTTAGGAAGCTATTTCAATGGGCTGGGCAAGAGGGGCTGAGATTCTGAATCAGAGTGATGGCTGTGTGAGTGGAGAGGAAGGGGCATAGATAAAAAATGTCAGGAAGGTAGAAATGACAAGATCTGGCAAAGGAATGAATCTGGAGGGCAGTGAGAGTGAAAAATCATGGATGATGCACTCTGAGGTTGGGAGCTTGAATTACTGGGAAGATGGCGGTGCCCTGTGCAGGAAGAGGGAAGTCTGGAAGAGAAAGGGGAAGGGTTAGGGAGCATAGGAGGAAGATAATGAATTCTGTTTGGGTTATGTTGAATTCAAGATGCCTCCTGGACATCCAGTTTAAATGACAACCAAAATGTAGTTGGTAATGTGAGTGCTTGGCTCAGGAGAGAGACCAAGTCTGGGAATCATCAGCATAGAGATCACAATTGAACTCATGAGAACTGATGAGCTTAAGTGAGAGAGGAGAGGGAAAAGAGGACCCAGGACAGAGTCTTAGGGGGCATCCATTGTTAGTGAGCCTGACATTGATGAAGAATCTGCAAAGGAGACTGAGAAGAAGCTGTCAGTGGGGTAGGAGCAGAATCCTGATGTCTGATTGACAAATCAAAGAGGAAGTTGGTGGGGGAGGGGGGAAACAAGAGAGGAGGGGGTTAATCATTTATCCATGAGACTTCTAAGGTGGTCGGTCCTTCTCTCCTAGGAGTTGAGAGTTCTGGTTTCCATCTGACTCCAGATGTGTGCATGTGTGTGTGTGTGTGTGTGTGTGTGTGTGTGTGTGTGTGTGTGAAAAGAAGCCATACCAGAGTCTTGAAAACAACAGATAAATAGTAGGATCAAGAGCTTAAGCTAACAACAGAGAACCACAGGAATGCTCCAGATTTTGTGAAGAAATGGGGAGTGACAGGCCACTCACATGTCAGCTCACTTCTACCCCACAGGTCCTCAGAGAAAGCCTGCATTAATCCTTACACCTACTCAAAAGCCTTGTACCTCCACAGGCTCAAAAAAGGGACCTATTCTTCCTGTCATTGACTGGCTAAGTGCCTCAGTTTCCTTGTCTAGCTGGGCCAGACGATCTGTAAGAGCACTCCCCACTAGAGCATTGGGAGGGTCTTCTGAACTCCTTAGACCCCAGGCCTACCACCTACTGGTACCCTTGCTCCTTATCATCTTGACCCCCATCTCTTTTGAGGCCCCAAGATGTTATGTAGGTACCCTAAAGTCCCACCACACATGCATGGTGGGGCTGTGGCAGAAGTGGGAGTGGGCATAGGAGCCCTGACCAGCTTTTCCTCTTCTGTATGAGGCAGCATGAATATAATTCATCCCACAAAAATGTACTGAATCAATAAGTGCCAGACTGTGCCAGACATTAGGCTTGAGAGGCCTTTCCTGTTCCAGCCAAGAGCTCCTCTTGTTCTTATCTCCAGGACTGAATGATTTTTTTCACCAAGATATTCGGAGCTTCCTCTAAGCCACAATGCCCCCTAACCCTGGAACCCCCCTTGATCACTCCCCCCAGACTCCCCTGACCCCTACCTGATGAGGAGATTCTGAGATCTGAATCATGGTGCTTAACGAGGAAATGCTCATTTTCATCTTACCTCTAATTGTGGGTTTCTAGCACTAAGGGCTATTGGGGTACGGTGGGCCCTCCCACTCTCACTGGGTCCAAGACTGCCCCTCCCTCCCTCACAGAGATTGAAATCTATCTGGGGAGATGAGCCCTAAATCGTTAAAGGTCAGGAGGCATAGGCCACCATTCTGACTGCCTATGCAACACTGAGCAAGGCCCTTCCCTTCTCTCGGCCTAGATGTGTCAAAGGTCCCTTCCAGCTCTGACAATCCGGTGATACTCTGACTCCTCCCTCCCTCTCTGTCTAGATTGCTTCTCCTTCTAAGGACCAAAGACACTCCCTAAGGCTCAGTCTCCAGCCCCTTATCTTCCTTCTTTTCAAGCTTTGCTCCAGACTTAAGGTCTCTGTGTTCCCTTTGTCTCTGAACTTTCGCCTTGAACTCACTCCTTCCACATCTCCATCCACCTCCTGGGCACCTTCCTGTGGATATTCTGTTGTGAACATTGAGTTTGAACTCAGCAACCTTTCCTCTAAGCATTTGTCTTAGGATCACAAGGTCAGAGCCGGAAGGAGCCTTGGAATGAATGAATCCATGAGTGAATGAATTAAAAAAATGTAGTAAGTTCTTGCTACAGGCCAGGCGCTGTGCTGTGCTGAGGTTACAAACACAAAAAGCAAGACAGCACTTGCCTTCAAAGACACAGCATACATATTAGGGAGTATATGTGTTATACCATGCACATACACACACGTGCACATCTATACACATACACACACCTCAGCATCTACACACGTGTATGTGTGTCCACTGCATACCATGTATAGGCACACATACAAACACATGTGTATGTATACAAACACACCTATACACACACATACACACACATATATGCCAAGGAGGCAGTGTTTTAGACCGGAAAGTCACAGGGAAGGTGAGTGGAATGATAGGACAGCTGATTGTTACGTTCTTCCTTGGAATGGACTTACTGATCTGGTTATGGCTCTTAGAGTTAGACAAAGGAAGCTGGGGTGAGGGGAGGGTTTCCCTGCAGCATTGAGGCAGGAATGAGAGCAGGGAGCATCAGGCATCTCAGAGGAGGGTCTGGGCTGGGCTAATTATGGAGAACTCTCACCTGTTAGGAGATGGAGACTCCAAGGCTGGCATGGGGGAGCCTGGTGGGAGGGGCGGTGGATGTGAAGATGAGAGGAAAGAAGCAGGCACGTACGTTGTCGAGAGAAGGCCGATCCTACCATTTTACAAATGAATAAACTGAGGCCCAGAGAGCGCTACTGCTGCTGTTAGTTATGTCCAACACTTTGCAACCCCCTTCGGGGTTTTCATGGCAAAGATCCTGGAGTACTTTGCCATTTCCTTCTCTCCAATTCATTTGACAGATGAGGAAACTGAGGCAAACAGGGCTAAGTGACTTGCTCAGGGTCACACAGCTAGTAAGTATCTGAGGCTGGATTTGAACTCGGGAAGATGAGTCCAGGCCCAGCGCTCTATCCATCACCTGGCTGCCCGAGGTGAGAAGGTAGTAAATAGCTGAGGTGGTATTTAAACCCAAGTCCTCCAGGGTTCAGGTCCAAGGTTCTTTCCAGTAAACTGGGTTGCTCCCCCTGCTGGGTGTTACTTTTTGCACCCTCTTCTTTGTTCCTGCTGTTTATTCTCCCCAGGACACACCTCAGAATGCTTTGCATTCTTTCTAAACCCTTCCTGTTATCAATGCCTTCTTTCCTCTGCTGGGCCCTGAGCCCAGGGGAGGGGAAGGGAATGTTCCATCTCCTTCTTTCCTATTTCCTACTGTTACTTAGAGTATCATCCAGTGAAATGGTGCAAGGCAGTGTGTGAGCCAGAATGCCCTGGGTTCAGATGCTGACTGCCACTGACTCTCTGGGTAACCTTGCCTTTCTTTCAACCTCCTTTTCCTCATCTGTCAAATTCAGGGACTGAACTGGATTCTTTCCTTCATTCCACAATCATATTTTCTGCATTTTTGCTTTTTTGTGAGGCAATCGGGGTTAAGTGACTTGCCCAGGGTCACACAGCTAGTAAGTGTCAAGTCTCTGAGGTCGGATTTGAACTCGGGTCGTCCTGACTCCAGGGCGGGAGCTCTATCCACTGTGCCGTCTAGCTGCCCCCTCTTCTACAATCATATTGATCTTGCCCTTCCTCTATGCCAGGCACTTGTGCTGGGTGCTGGAGGAGAAAGGCACCCAAGCCAAATCGTCCTTGCCCTCCAGGGGCTTGCATTCTTCTAGGGTAACACAACATGCCCACGTACAAGGGAGACCAGCTAGCTTCAGAAGGGAGACAGAGGTACCAAGTGCAGGAATCTCAATAGTCTTCCTGTAGGAGGTGGTGCTGATGAGTCCTGAAAAATGCTAAGGCTGATGTGAGAAGAGAAGGCACCCACAAGCACAGAGGTGGTCCAGACAGTCAGGGAGGTGGGACGTGGAATGCCAGGTTTGAGGAATAGCAGGAAGGCCTCTGGGCTGGATCAAGAAGCTTATGAAGGGGAGTGATGTAAAAGGCAAACTGGAGCAAGACTGGCTGGAGACAACTGGGAGCCAGAAGACTCTTGGGCAGAGAAGTGACATGATCAGGCCTGTGCTTCAGAGAGATGGTTTTGGATGGATTGGGGTGGGGAAGACACTGGGGACAGGGAGACCTGGTAGGAAGCTCTCCACACTGTCTAGGTGAGAGATGATGAAGGCCTGAAGTAGGAGGAGAGGAGCAGATAGACTGAAGAGACGTGGGGGGAGAACTGAGGACTCGGATATGAGGGTAGGGGATGAGGAAGAAGGAAGCACTCAGAATGACTCTGAGCTTGTGAACTTGGGTGGTGCCCTCACAAGAAACTTGGAAGTTTGGAAGGCGGAGATCTGGTTGTGGAGTGGGATGGCACCATGGCTGTGGTGCTTTGTCCTTCCTTCTTGATGAGGACCATGACATCAGGAAGATGATGCCATGACCTCCAAGTAAACTGGATTTAAGTGAGGGAGGGCTGTGCAAAGTGGGGCTGCTGGAGATAAGAGCTCTCTGTTGGACATGTTGAGCTTGGTGTCTATGGGGCACCCAGTTGGAAATATCCAGTAGGCAACTGGTGATACAGGATTGAGGCTCAGGAGAAAGATGAGGGATGAAAATGCAGATATGACAGTCATCTACATGTCCTTCCTTTTTCTCTTCCCTTCCCTTCTCCCTTCCTTTCCTTCCTCCTTTCCCTCCTTTCCCCCTTCCCTTCCCTCTTGAACAGGAGTAGGATAATTTAAAGGGGAGAGTGAAAAGACTAGAAGTCAGAATCTCAGAAATACTCAGCGGATTCCCATTGGAGGGCTCTCTATTCCAACCTAAACGTCGTCCCCTGAGTAGGTCTTATGTCCCTAGGCCGCCTGGTGTACACCTGGTTGTAGATGTTGCTGCTGTTTCATGGAGGTGCTGAGTGGGGCCTATCTGCTACTGCTGGTGACTGTCCTCATCACCCTACTCAGGTATTTTCTAGGTAAGGAGCACAGTAGGGCTCGGGTTGGGGGGAGGATGTCAAGGAAAAAGGGAAGGTGGCTAGCCTTAGAGCCAGAAATGTGGGGAAGGAGTACCCTTGAACCCTCAGTGGCCCCATGGATATGACTTTGATGCCCCTGACCTTTAGCATAGAGCAGCATTTGGAGATGAGGGTTTAGTATTGTGAATAAGGCTTTAGTGACTGTGGTTGGGGGTTTAATGCCTGGGCAGGGTTTTGGCTATGGTGGCTCAGAATCAGAGATGTTGGCTCAGTTCCCATATTGCTCATGTTCCCCAGAAAGAAAACTCCCTCAGAGGATAACAGGGCATGAGTGGGTACCAGTTTTGTGAGCCCTGTGGGAAAAGAGCTGAGACCCATCATTCAGCCTCCCACCTCAGCCTCCTGGGTATAGGCCCTCTCAGGACAGATCACTTTCCCTTGGCCTTGCTTTGACCAAAGCCTCCTGGTTTTTTTTCACAGAGTTTCCTGCCATCATGAAAGGATTTGGCATTTTCCAAAGTGCCAACACCATCTCTGTCCCTAGGGAGTCCTAAGCTGAGAAGGGGACTCTAGGCAGGTCTCTCTGGATCTAGACTTCTCCACCAGCAGCCTCTTTCCCTCAGCACACAGTAGGCTCACTGGAGAGCTAGACACTCCTGACTGAGGCCCCAGTACTTTTGACCAGCCAGCTTTTAGGGACTCTGATCTGATACCCTAGGTCCATGGCCTTCTGCCATTCATGTGTGCTATCAATCAAGCCTGATCTGTGGATCAATGATATACAGAGGAAATATTGGGCTAGAAGTTTGAGGACCTGGCATAGTAGTGAGTATTCTGGGTTTGGAGTCTGCAGGCCAGGTGTGATTCTTGACTCTGCTGTTTAATGTGTGACCTTGGCCAAGTCATTTTATCTCTCTGAGCCTCAGTTTCCTTCTCTGTAAAATAAAGGGGTTGGACTGGAGGGCCTCTCTGGTCTCTACAAGCTCTGATTTTCTGTTACCAGCTCCATGGCATGAGGGCTAAGCTAAGCAGGGCTGGCCAGGTGGAAATCAGTGGGCCTTCCTGAGAGATCAGGCATGCAGGCAACAAGCATTTATTAAGCACTTACTGTGTGCTAGGGACTGTATTAAGAGCTAACTTTGGCTTTTAGGACTCCGGTTCCACGGTCCTACAACCCAGCTTGGGCTCTAATGATATAGGGAACTCAGAACCCCTGGAACAGGGCCCACAATGCCCTGGAGATTCAAGGGACAAGGTAACTGTCAGAGCAGAGGGGCAGTGGTCACTGACCAGGCATCTGGGCCCTGTGCTGGATTCAGTGCTGGGGAGGCCCTGAAAGTCCTTCTGGTCCTGAGGCTTGGGGAGAGGGGGACAAGGGGAAGCTGGGGTCTTCTGGGACTGCCACATCCAAGCCCCTGCATCTTCCTTACAAGCCCTGGCCTTCGTCTGGCATCCTTACTCTCACCTCCATGCCTCTAACACTAACCACCATGTTCCAGGCCTGCTCCCCATCACCGATTCATCCTTCCCTCTTCTCTTTCCTCATCCCCCCATCAGAATCTCCCTTTTCCCAAGCAGCTCTGCCTTCTCTTCAAGGACTGTTGAGTACTGGCAATTCCTTGCAGGTCTGGAATAGTGTAAGGGAAAAAGTCGGGGGGGAGGGATCTCCTGGTGTGGAGGGGTCAGTTTCTCTCTATACCAGGGCCAGTTCTTCAAGCTAGAGGTTCCACAGCTTACTCTCAGGGAGCCCCTGGGCTGGTAGGGGAAGTCTCAGTGCCTGGCACATAGTAGGTGCTTAATGAATGTCTGCTCTTAGGGAGTTCCTGGTCTGATGGAGAAGTTACTCAAAAAGATACAACTTAGACAAGAAACATGTAAATGAACACAAATCAATGGCTTCCGTGTGTGCGGGAGAGAAATGATCTAGGAGATAGGGAGGCAGAGTGAGGGGAGGAGGAAGGTCCAGAGGCCACAGACTCCACATGACACCAAAGCCAGATCTTTGGGCAGTGGCCTCCCCCTACAGGTCACTTCACGTACTGCCCAACCCCCAGAGCCAGGCGGCCAACCCCTACTGTTTGTTACTAGGTTCCATTTAAGGCTGTCTTGGCCATCTTCTTGGCACTTTCAGACTTGTCTTATTAACAGCAGGTCATTGTATGCTCAACTAGATAACCTGGACAGCCTGTGATCCACCTTGGTAGACAGCAGGGCTAGCAGAGAAAGCTTTTTCCTCCCTTTACCAGCTAGGACTAGTGCAGGCAGCAAGCTTCCTCAAGCCGGGCTGGCTGAGGCTTAGCCACAAACGCCAATGTGGGCCAATGTGCTCAGAGCTTAAAGAGAGTAAGGTAGCAAGCCTCCAAAAATGGAAGGGAGGGGATCATTTCCTTACACTGTTTGTGAGCCTGCTTTTCTGAGAAATCAGTGGCAGGGGCGAGATGAGTTCTCCTAGCCTGGTGATTCCGAAGCAACAAGAAGCAGCGGAGAAGACTGGGAAGGTATATTAGTAGTGTGGTCAAGGTCATTCATCCTGAATGATTTTTGGTCAATTGAGGAAAGACAAAAATGGTAAACGCTGGTGGGTCTGTGGGAGACAGGCACACACATGCACTGTTGGGACAGCCATATGAACTGGCCCAACTATTTTGGAAAATTTGGAATTTTACTAGGCATATACTTCCAGGTTGTCAAAGACAGAGGGAAAGGTAACAGACAGAACAATAGATATAGATATATCAGCATATATATCCCCTCCCTCAATCATTCAGCGCTGGCGAAGTAGAGGCAAAGCGGGTAAGGCTGATTGGCCAAAGGCAGAATAAACTGTGGCATCTGAACGTGATTAGGACATAATGAGAAATCTGAAGAATTTGGAGAAGCTTGGGACAACCTGTCCGCATAGAGCTAAGCAAGCAGAACCAGGAGAACAATGTCATGAGATATCTGTGATAATGTCAAGGACACCAGTGGTGAAAGACTTCAGAATTGGGATCCATGCAGTGCCGGATCCCGAGGCTGGGAACTGGTGCCGGGGAAGCAGCCCTCTGCTTCTGGGCAGAGAGGAGAAACAGACATTTCACAGGCGGATAAAGCAGGGGTGGGGAATCTTCCTCTCGAGGCCAAACTTCATATATTCAGTCAAAGGGCCACACTCCAAGACCTGAAGGGCCCACACGGTCCCCACCCCTGGGCTGAAGGGTTCAGATTTGCTTCTTTCTATTTATGTTATAAAGGACGGTTCTACTGGGGGGAAATGGGCACATGACAAGGACGCTTTTTAGGGGAAAAGCTTCATTCCTTTCAACTGAGTCAAACGACATTTTCTTGTCTGCTGCATCCAAAGATGCATCTTCATATGTCTTTATGCTCCCCCAGACGGCAACACCCCAGCATGAGAAGGGTATCGATAGCGCCAGACAACTCCTCTCCTTAGTAAGCTGTGTTTTTCCCCTGGAAGGGATCCATCTATTTCCCTAGGGAACCCTGGCCCTGATTGCCACTTCCCCACCCCAGCCCTTGCTAGTATTTCTTTTTTGGAGAGGCCCTCTGGCCTTTCCTTAAATCTCTGCTCTAAGAGGAAGTGGCCTCACAAGGAAGCACAAGGAAGATTCAGGTGGGTCTTTTTGAGGAGCCTGGTTTCTCCCTACAATGGCCAGTGTTCCTGTCCCCATCAATACAGCCACCAGGCCAATAAGGAATCCAGATGGGAATGACTAGGAACCCATCCCAGCTCATCTGTCTTGAAGCAAGTCAGCCCAGGGAACCAAAAGCTGTTTATCCTAGAGCTCTACCCAGAAGGACCTCTGTTCCACGTGCTGGAAGCCTAGGAGAACACACCCTGTAGCCAGGCGGGATGGAAGCGCCTCTCTCCTCTGGCAGATGTCTCAGCAAATGGGCTCCACTGCCAAATTTCAATTCTTAGAAGCTTGTGGTTGCCCCTCTCTGCCTCCCTCCCCCAACACTGGAAGAACTTCCTCTCTAGATTTGAGAAGAAAGCCACTTGTTAATATGTCAAACAAGTCTAAATGAACCAAAGGAAAGTGTCCTACATGGATCCCTGCTATTCCCAGTCTTTCCCTGAAGATAAAACTGCAGCTGGCAAAGCCTCGAGCAAAAAGAGAACCACTCCCTTCTAGGACTGGACGCTTTACTTGCACGCTGCAGTACTGGTAACGATGCCTAGCAGAAAGAGAGGGCTGTGCGTGTTGGTCCAGCCCATGGCAGCGTCCATTCCCTAAGCCCCTTCAAAGCAGGCTGTGCCCACTGGCCAGGGCTCAGCGTTCCAGCCCTCCTCTCTGCTAAAAAAGAAAACAAGCGTCAAGGACCTGTGTTGGAGCTTTACATTTTTAATAAAAAATAATTAACACAGTACATTGGTCCAAACTCCCAGGGATCATGCTTCACTATAAAATTTATGTTGACCTAGCTCATTAGCTCGAGGCCAGAAAAGGTTGGGAGAACACGGTGTGATAGTCTGAGAAACGAAGGGCAAAGGTACACACGCACAAAGGCTAATATGCAAAACACCAAAGAGAAAAGCTAAAGAGAAGCAACCAGGGACCACACAAGAGTTGGAGCCCAGAAGGGACGGGCTGCTGTGGTGGCTTCACCCACGATGTCTCCAAGGACTCAGATGTGGTGGGTCGAGGCTGCCCTCCTTGAGAGTCCGTCATTGCATCTGGACCCTTGACCCCTCCGGGGGCGCTGAGGCTGCGCTGTTGCCCAGGGTCGGCTGCCCTGGCCCTTGGCAGACTGGAGGCTGTGGCGGGCAGCTCCCCTGGGAAGGGCAGGAGACAGCGGGGTAGAAGTTAGAGGAGACGGGACCAATGCCGAAGGGGCTCTGTACATAAAACTGGCCAGAAGCTGGCTGGTAGGGAGGTGGGGCAGGTGGGCTCCTAGGACCAGGGTCTGGCCAGGGTCCCACTCTCTGGGTGTTGTCATGGTGCTGCGTCTGAATGACCTGGAGGGTCGGCATGGGGTAAGAGTGATAACTCTGTGTAGGGTAGGATCCTGGGACTGGATTAATCCTAAAATGGGCCAAGAGAAAGAAGTAGTCATTACATTTGACATTGATAAGTACAAACAGCTCCAAAAAGAAAAGGGAAAAAAGCCCTTGGGTACTAGAATATATACTCAGGTTTAACACACACACACCACACACACACACACACACACATATATATATATATATATATATGCCAGTACTCAAGGGCTTTTACATAAATATATAGGCATAGATATACATAGCTATATCTACATCTATATAATGTTTTGCTGAATATAGAGTTTTGCTGACTACTCCTCATTGCCAAATGTAGAGAACAGGTGGTCTCTATAAGGGGAGAGAGGCCCAGAGAAGGTAGTGGCTTCCTCAAGGTCCCATGAATCAGCGGTGGAGCAGCAACTGGCAGGTCACTGGATTCAGGGTCTGTGACTAAGCTGATGAGCCTCAATACCTCAGGAGGGTTAAGGAGAATGGAATCTGAGACCATTTGGAAGCTCAACCTCTGAATGTGCTGCTAGAGTTTCTGGTTGTGAAAAAAGGAGGAGCAGGCACAAAAATTCAGCTACCACCCCAACTGGAGCTGGCCATTTTAACGGGCTCCTCCCTCCAGGCCCCTTCCTAGAGTTAGGAACCAGAAGTAACATGGACAAGTTTGCTCTGCTTTTCTTATGCCCCTCCCCAGCTCCCACAGGGAGATGGTCTCATGGCCCACACCCAGGAAAGGCTCCAGGAGCAGCCAAAGCCTGTTGGGCAATGAGGAACAAGGCGTCCCCAGCTCAGCCAGGCTCCAGTAGCCGGCCACAGGCCCCTCCAACGGCCCAAACTGACGGGCTCATAGGGAGAAGGGAACCACCTGCTTGGCAGAGACAAAAGAACTCCCCACATATTCTGGCCTAGACGGCATCAAAACAGGGGAGGAAGAAAGCTGTTGGGAAAGCACTTTTCTCTGGCCCCACTTCTTGGTGTCCACACTGCCTTGAAACCCATGGCTTTCATTCTCCTCCTCAGGGCCACATAGGGCCTGGCCCAGCTGGAAGGGCTGGAGGCAGCTCCAGAGGAAGGCAGACACGGCACAAGCCTCGTCCTGGCCTTCTCCTGCTTCATCCGCCTTTAGCTTTGTTTTGGATCGTGCTCACACATTTCTGATTTCCCCCCTCTTCTCCCAGTGCTTTCACGACATTCACCGAAGGCTAAGACATCCTCGCACAGCTTTCCAAAGTCCCCAATCCCCATATTCCCCATCCGTCCCCATTGCCCTTAGCCAGAGGCCACACCAACCACACCCTGGGAAGCTGTGACCTCAGGAATCCCTCTAGGAGCAGCAGAGGAAGGTCAGGTACTTACTTCCTGGTCTGGACAGCTCTTCTTTCAACTGAAGATCCTGAAACATAGTTGAGCACCGTGGCCCGCCTCAACAGACTGAAGGGGAACTTCTGATCTAGTTTCAGTGCAACTGACTCGGAGAGATCCAGGCACGAACAGTAACCCAGACCATCTGAAGCAGCAGGTTAAGAATAGTGGAAGCATCTAGTGGAGGCCCGAAAATGCTCCCCATCCTAGGACAACTGCTCACCCTGATTTAGTGTTTTCAAGTTCACTAGAAAAGCAGAGAGAGGGCTAGGCTAGGCCTGAAGTCAACAAGACCTGGGGGTCCAAGTCCCATCTCTGACTGTCACCAGCCCCTGCAGCCTTGGGCAGGTCTCCTTAGAGAGCTTATTTACCATGCTGTGGTCCAATGATCATCTTCACAGCACACGATGAAATTCTAGATCCTCGGACACCCTGACTTCAAGGTTTACAAAGAGCTATGACTCCTGAGTCTACAAGGGATGGCTTCTCTCAACAACAACTAGCTGAAACTCCTCCGGCTCGGCTCCGCTAAGTGCTGGCACAGGAATCACGTGTTAGGGTGTGGAGCAGAGCAGAGGGAGAGGATAGAAGTTTCCCCTTCCCAACATTCCTACTCAGCGTGGCCCCCAGTGGACCACCAACCTCTCTGGGCTCCACCACCCCCTCACCACATCATACAACGAAGCCAACATTAGACGAAACAAATGGCAAGTGGAGCAGGAAGCACCGGGGCTCTGAAACCTTCTATCTTTAAATGGACTTGAACCACTGCAGAACGCACCAGAACCCACCTCCTCTAGGTGTAGGCCAGGGAGATGCTCCTCTGATGCTGCTGCCCAGCTCCCATGGTGCTGCACTCCAACTCAGATGCCCATCCCTGACCCAACCTGGGGCTGCATCATCCACCTCAACAGCAGGAAAGCCCTTCTCTAAAAAGTTATGACTGAGGACTTGCTCGTTGCCTGGGGGAACAATCAGAGGAGGGGGACACAGATCAACAGAACAAATACCAGGAACTGCTGGCTGGCTAAGTGCAGTGTGACGCGTGCAGTCAGAGGGCCTGGGCTGCAGCCCTGAGCCAGGTGACCCTAGGAAGGCCATCCCCTTCTCTGGGCCTCAGTTTCCTCATCTAGAAATGAGAAGATTGGAGTAGGACATCTGCGAGGTTCCTTCCAAGCCTACATCTATGACCTAGCTGGGCTGGAACACAGGAGAAGAATGCATCTGCCCAGCTGGGTGGGGGCGTAGACACGGGTGCTAACAGGAAAATTTCACGGCAGGGAGGGAAGACATTCTCCTGACTCAGGATGTAGGTGGTTCCCCAAGGTTGCCCCGAGCTTCTCCCTCAATAATCTCCATTCATTCCACTAGCTTCAACTATTCCCTCTACACAGATGCTCCCAAGTTGGCATCCCTGCACTAATCTCTCTCCCTAAGCACACAATCCACACCCTAACCTTCTCCACCTGGGTGGACACCTCTCCACCTGGATATCCCACCAGAACACCCAACTCTGCATGTCCACAATGCCCCTGTCCTAACTTCCCTCGCCACCCCTCTGAGCTCTCGGGAGTGCTAATTCCCTCTGGACTCCTCCCCCTCCTCTGCCCCACAGGTACACCCATTCCAAGCTTTGTAAATCCTTTCTCCATTCCCACTCAACATCCCCTCACTCATCTGGTCTATTACAAGGCACCTAATTGGTTTCTCCCTACATACCGCGATTATCAAAGTCTTTTAAAAATTCTTTTATTATAAATTTGATAAACATTAACATACTTCCATGTGCAAAGCACAGAAAGAGGCTTGCATGTGAAAATGTGAATCACTGTTCCATACAGGTTTTGTTAAAAAAGTGTATGTTACATTTAACATGGCAGTTCCAACAGTGCCCTGCTTATGTACCTGTTTCCTTCTGTGTATTTCTAAAATGTTTTATTGATGGAGAGTAAATTTTCCAATGATTCTCTCTAATTACTCATCAATATGCATTAGCTCTTTCCAATTACCTAAGAGAGAGTCCCTTTTTTCTTCTTCTCTTCCCTTCCCTGATTTCACCCCCTCCTGCCAAATCACGTGCTCACAGTCCCTGGTACTTGCCTTGACCTTCCCACTTCCTCAATCTCCCACACTTGGCGAGCATGCCTGCTCTCTCTTCCCCATTTCTAGCTGTAAACATTCTTCAAGGGCCCTCACCTATGCACATGTTCTCTGATATCTCCTTTCTCAAATCTCTTTCAATGCCGTTTATGTCTCTCACATCCTCTGGACAGGGGCTAGACCTGTGATTTCACTGAGATGGAGTGCTTCCAGATGAAGAATCACGTTGGTAATTTCTCTGCAACTTAGTATCTTTGAGCATTGGTGAATAACACACCCAGGGTCTCCCAAGGGCAGTATATCAGAGATCTGACTAGAACCGAAGTCCTGCTGCTTCTAGGTTGGCTCTCAATCCATTGAGCCGTGCCATTTATGTTCTAACTTGTATTTTTTTTTTCTTTTCGGTGAGTCAATAGGGTTAAGTGACTTGCCCAGGGTCACACAGCTAGTAAGTGTCAAGTATCCGAGGCCACATTTGAACTCAAGTCCTCCTAACTCCAAGGCCAGAGCTCTAACCACTGCGCCACCTAGCTGCCCCTCTAACTTGTATTAAAATGATTTGTGGGCACGTCCTCCCAACTTGATCGCAAGTTTATTTGCTTAATTTTGACCTCCCCCAACTATAAGGGGCGGGGAACAGGGGAGACATGACCTAGAAGTAGGATGGTCTACAGCTAGCAGAGTCTGGTGCTCACAAGTAAAAGGCCCCCTGCTCCATCAGGCAGTATGAGAGCAAACACTAGCACAAGAAGTGCGGCCACAAGTATGGTGCAAAGGCACCCCCCCACCCCCATTAATCCCTTCAAGGTCTGTAAGCTCTCAGGCAGCTGGTACTCACAACCTGAACAGCAGATCTCAAACCTTTTGGTCTGAGCACCCCTTTTGGCTCTTACAAATTACTGAGGACCCTCAAAGAGCTTTTGTTTATGTGAATTATACTACTGATCTTTATCAAACTGGCAAATAAAACATCTCAGTATTATTATGAAAATAGTTGACTTCAGGAGCTCAAGAGGTCCCCACACCACACCTGGAGAATGACTGGCCTCCACACACACATTTTTCCTAAGCAGACC